GGAGAGTTATTAACGATCAAATAGTGTGCACATCTTTTTGGGACACTCTGTATATATATTAGGTTGTCCCGAAAGTTTTGTCGTTTTTTTTTCAAATCATCATAAAAACACACAGAATAATCGTAAGCCAGCAGGTAAGACATCATTCGACGCAGATTTTCTTCCTCTTTCAGGCAGTCTTATTCTTGTGCTTAGTTATTTATTGGTTACTGAAATAATCGTCAAAATTTCGAACCCATGGTTTTTAGAATGTCCAGCTTTGGCAAATTTTCAAAACCTTTATTTTGAACTTTTGAGAAAGCTTTGATAGCAGTCAGATAGCTTAAACCAGGTGCAGCGCATGGCAATTTTTCCACCTTTACAGGTGGCTTTTCCAAATTTTTAAAATTATTTCTCTGATGTTATCAGATTCCAATTTTGGTCATCCAAAAACTCAAAGAACTGCAAATGGCGCACAATCAAAGTGTCATTCGATGCAGCTTTTTCTCGTCTTTCTGGGATGCGTTTTTTCTCTCCAGTTTATACAGTCTTTGGCAAAAAAACTTCAATAATTCTTGATTTCAATCCCATCCGAGGCTATACCTGTAAAAAGCAAAACTTGATATTTCGGAGCGGCTAGCGCTGAATTGTTCGAAAAATTAGTGTGTAATCATAATCGATTCTTGGAAGTTCTAAATTCCAAAGATTTGTTAGTGTTTGGGGCGTTTATGTATTTTGCAATTTTCCAAAAATGAAGACTTTTGGAAAAGTTGTTTTGAAAAATAGCAAAAAGGCAGTTGGAGATGCTCAAAAATTGCTATGTGTTGCACCTGGTTTAAGCTATCTGACTGCTATCAAAGCTTTCTCAAAAGTTCAAAATAAAGGTTTTGAAAAATTGCCAAAGCTGGACATTCTAAAAACCATGGGTTCGAAATTTTGACGACTATTTCAGTAACCAATAAAGTAACTAGCACAAGAATATGACTGCCTGAAAGAGGAAGAAAATCTGCGTCGAATGATGTCTTAAATGTTGGCTTACGATTATTCTGCGTGTTTTTATGATGATTTGTAAAAAACGACAAAACTTTCGGGACAGCCTAATATATATATCCATATCAATTTTACCATTCAAGCACTACCTATGAGTACTCAAGCTAATCAAGTCTCGTCCTCTGTGTTTTGCTACGGCTTTGATGGCACAAAAAGCGCCTTTTCTGGCTATTGCAGTTTTATCTCTGATTTTCCTCATTTTTTCTGATTTTCCTCATTTTTTGATGCATCCGCTCATCGTTCGCTGCAGATCATGAGCAGCACTTCCACAAATACCACAAAGGGTATTTTGTAATTTTCTGCAGTGCCAAAAAGGATGATTTCCTTTACAAAATTTTTAGGGGCCATTTCGGATGGACCCTGGTCATCAAGTCAATTAAATGTTATAGCGCTGCCGTACACACCAAAGAGCATGAATTTCATATACTACTTTTAATCACGGATACGTCATTATTTTTGATATAAGACATGATACAATTATAAACGAGCGAGACTATGTTCACATAGACAACGCGAACGACTGTGGTAAGAACCAAAATGAGATCAATTGCGCTGGAGGCCAACTTGATATGTCAACCTGGAAACAGATAAATAAAATTCAGAGCATTTTGATTTACAATGTATTGAGTAAAAGGGGTAAATGTTTTATTATATTGAAGATATGCCACAATTTCTTCTTATATTCAGAAAAGGCAGATGATAGTGATGATCCTTCGAAAAGTCCACCCACTGCAACAGAAAATTTCAGCGCAAGATTTTCTACTTCAGTGGAATTGACAGAATAACTGTCTAGTAAAGGACTAACTACTTACGTATTTATTTATTTATTTATGTTTATTGGGTATATATATATATATGTGTACTGTTTTGTTAACTGAGTTTTGCTGCTTTTCCCTAACTCCCCTCCCTGACGCTCTCAAATTTTGCCATTATTCAGCTCATAAAGCAAGCTACAAGCTAACGTCGCAGTGTGGCGCAAGTCTATGGTGTAAGAGGGAAAAATTGTTAATCATTACAGTTTTGGCTGAAATTAGGCATGGAGGGATTATCTGACATGCTGATCACGAGATACTGAAACTGCATGGTAGGGGCATTTTTGTAAGATAAGTGCAGGCGTTTATGATACAGGGTACCACCCTGAGCAAAAAATGAAGCGTCAATTCAACAAATGGATACACTATCAATGTTGAGTAGGTCAAAAAACTACACTATGCGATGTCTCGGAGAATTCTGAGGTCACGACTCTTTAAGGGCAGTGTTTAAGCAGGTTTTGTATCTCCATTTTTTTCAGGTTTTGGGCCTTTTCGACCCATAGACCCCGAATTTGAGCTTTGAAACGGGTGAAAAGACCTTTTTGGGGCGTTTACCCAATTTCCAGCAGCAGAATTGCAGCTCGGACGAGAATTTTAGTGGAAAGTTGGGAAGTCTTTACACGAAGACTCTGCTGCTTGTAATTTGCTCTAAATATCATGCACGATGCGGGAAAGCGGTCGCGGGATTCTGCGCGGGACGGTAGTCGATGTCGTCCGACCGCGCGCCAGTTCAAGGGCTATTTCCACGGCTCAGGGGGAAAAATCAGCGAGTCGGACTGCGCCTACAGGTCAGTGGGGTGACCAAGAACCCCGCCATAGCAATATTTCCGAGGGCGCGGCTCTGCCGGACACTGCCTTTGAAGGCACCGCCTACTCAGATTCTTGACTTTCATGTTTTACGCGTTCTCAGGGCTTCTCATGTCCCATGATTCCGAGTACGAACTTGAGAATCCGCGAAAACTCGAAAACACGAAAACAGCCCCGTTTCGTAGAGCCCGCAGGCCGGTTCTCTGAAACGGTTACTGGATAGGCGCGACGGATGGGCGGGCATTACTGGAAGGGGCGGTGACGATTTGGTGTCCTCATGCCTCTTCGCTATTACAAAGCGATTTTCTCTCTTTCGAAGAGACGTTTTGCGCCCCGACCTGGGCATTGGCTTGATAAATACTTCTACTATCGTAAGCTGTTGAAAGCTCAGGACCCCTGACTAGAGTGGACGGTGCCTTTAATATAATGAATGTTTGTCCAGAGGCAGCCTTGCATATAGCGACTCATTCAACTTTATGAAGGAGCCAGCTCTCGATTTGCCTTTGAATTATTTTTTGTAAGCTAAAAGTGTCAATCTTCAGCAATAAATCATTAGCAGTTTAAGGTCCTGGTGGGTGGTCTAGGTGGCGAACGGTTCATTTTTTGCTTTCAATCCCATAAATTCTCAGATTTTTTCAATTGAAAAGTGTTTTCAATTTTTCAAATTTTGTCGTTAAAAAAGCAATTTATGCCGAATTGTAGCCACTTTACAATTATACAATATCAAAAAATGAGCGCGCCATTATCAAAAGCGAAAAGTTAAGGGATCGCTTGCTTAGTTAACAACTTAATAGTGGGAGCCAAATCGAGACTTTTATTAGTAAACTGGTAATTAATCGCTAAACAAGAGATAAGTCTTTATTTATGCATCCAACTGGGATTCTCCAGAACATTTTCTATACAAAGCGTAGTCTTTTATGCGCTTATTAGGTCGTCATTTCTTCCAATCCCAGTTTCTAAGAAGGTTAACGAGTTTCCTTCACAAAGGACACACAAAACTTATATCAGAGAATCTATTAGCTTAGCCCTGTGAGTTTCTTACAAAGTTCCTGCAGTCGTTTTATGTAAATAAAATGATTCAAATGCACCATTTCAAACTTTGCGAAAAAAACGTTCAAAATTTTTGGCTAGACTGTGCCTTCCTATTTTTATCTGGACTGGGCTTAACGTAGGGTATCACGAATACCACCTTTTTTCGATAATTCTGTGCTTTCATGCTTTCTCGATGACTGCAGAAATGAGATTTTCCGAGAAAGGAAAAAAATGAGTACGTCCCAGGGAATAAAATTTGAACATTAATACGCACCTGCCATAAATGTGCAGGAGAAAACTGGCATACAAGCACCATCACAGCAGAGCTTCTTCAAAACAATGATACGTCGACTTCCTCGAAATGCCCTTGTGTCCAAGATGCGATAGAAACCATGAAGCCTAGGTCCGATGACGAAACCAATAGCCGCCATTCTAGCTGCGATTGAATCACTTGGTTACTTCGTCAAGTTGGAAATATTTGCTTGGATCTTTTCTAGAAAAGGGCACGAGAAATTCAATTGGGTTTACACCAAGTGAAAATCTGCTAAATTTCCCTGGGGATTGCTCGCTTCTAATTTGACTAATTAGCTTTAAAATGTTTCCTTCACAAGAATAGAGCCTTGACGGGTTGGAATCAATGAACAACTGTGTCAGAGTAATTTCACAATATCTGCTAGTGGGATAACTTGCATACTTCAATAAGATCTCATTTGCAATTTCCAAAAATTTGATTACGATTTGAAAAGAGCAACTCATTTGTTCTAAAGCTATTTTTCCGTATACTGCGATAACAGTAAAATACGGAAGATGGAAGTTAATCTTAGTAATTCATGAGACAAAGCAAGAACTTCAGCTTCACCTTCTATGACAATAAATTATTTATGAAAACTTCGCGAAATTTGTCGTTACTTAACCAATCAAATCTAGCTGTTTCTCTTGACAAAATCTGAAGGGCTTTAAACTTTGCTACTCATTATCATGGTTGCTTTACTGGATAGATATGGAAGAAAGAAAAAGATTTGACTCGACTGTAGAAGAAATTAATTTTCTCACTACCGCAAACTGTGAGATATCATAGCGGTATAAGAGCATGATATCAAAGCTAGTAAGACTTTGGTTTTTCAAGCAGGAGTAATACAAAGATTTTCAACACAAATTCATAGTCTCCTTCTCCAAATAAAAATGTCGGTACTTTTCAAAGGGCATAAATTTTAATACATGAGTGCAAATACAAAGAACGGATGAAATCTGTTCGATGGTAACCCCATCCCTTCTTTTGTACATCTCCTTGAAAACACTGCTGCAGCACATCGGCCATACCTATTTGTGCCACGCTTGTATGTACTTGTTAGGAAGAGATGCTTTGAAAAGTGCTTTTGCAACTCCTAAAAGGAACTTGAGAGAAAATACTAAGCAAAAAGACGCAATAGTTACCTTTACGGATCTCATCTCGTCAAAGTGCCGTTTGGTGCTGACTTTCACCGTGCAAAACCTGGTGTGACTCAACATTCACAGAATATTGCATAAATGATAGCGTATTCAACCATCTTTGGAAGAAATGTTTCGTCCGCAGCTCTAGGAATCCAGTCATAACTTAAACAGAATATTCTAAAGAATTATCTATCAGTTTGTCACGCACAAAATGAGTCCAATAAATAATGTTATTTAGGCTAGCAAGACAATTGAAGAACCAGGTTTTTTGCATCGGATAAAGGTATCGGAAAATGGGCTGAATTTTCCATATCTTGATTACAAGGTGGTCCAAGCAAAAATTATAAATATGTGCAGCTGACTTGATAACTTCAAAATATTGCAGATGAAAATTGAATCTTTTCAATTTTTTAAGTATTCAACGTATTGTCGATGAGAAGATCACTGAATAAAGGGCCAAGCATACTTCACGCGATTTCAGTAGCGACGCGATTTGGCAATTCGCCAGAAGTCTTCATATCCAACACTAGCATTCCGCACATGCATAGTGTGTATAACTTACGTGGATTGATAAAATGCCCTATCCTCTGCACATTTAAAATGTGCTTACAGTGAGTTATGGACAGTTGGAATATTGCCAAGTCGCGTCGCGACTGAAATCGCGTGAAGTATGCCCGGCCCTTAAGCTAGCTACTTTACCCAGCGGAAAGCATCTTATCGGCTAATGAGTTGAAGGCGTGGTGAGTTTATCGGAAAGAGTGTCTTTAAAGCACAGCCACGAAAGCAATGCTGAAATAAGACATGTGATAATGTGGTTAAGACTTGTTTTAAATTCATTGACGATGTTCTGTTCACTTCAAGTTCCAAACAGAAGGGAATTTTATTTGTTTTTCTCGGCGATTAATGACTCAGGTTCTCCAACCTTAAAGGAGATGAGATCAGGATGAGATCAAGTTTCATTCTATGGCTGTAGAGGATAACAGAGCTATATGAAAGCTTTTAAACAGATAAAAACTGCTGCATGACGAAGGCGCAGAAGTAGTAATAGTTGGGCGGGCGCGAAAGCGGCGCGCACGTATCCTCACCTTTGTAAATCCTTCCTGCGACTCATGCGCTCTGCGGCTATAAAGCCGAGATCGCGCCCAAAATTGCGCCTTCGTCATGCAGCAGCCTTTACGTGCTCGCACTAGCTCCGCGACCTACGACCGTTACCCCGTGTTTTTGAGTGGATTATTCCATTTTAAGAGCAGAAAATGCATGGGTAAAATCAGAGCGAACCCCGCGATGCAGAGCCCACGCATTCACTGGCGGTTGATAAAGAAGAAAAATGCATTTTACCAAGCGAGATTCAGGTAGTCAACTGTGAAGCAATATGGTTCATTTTTTCCGTTGGCTTTCGACTCACTGGCATCACGGCATCAACATCTAGTGCTAATATTCTTGCGTCAAATTCCTTATCAAGAAAAAATCAGAAAATATTTACTTTGATGTTAATTTCCAGCATCTTTTTCGGGTTGATTTTTACCTAAGAGTCTCCCCCCGTTGGGTAGTATGCCAATTACAGTAAAAAGCTCACTCGCTTCAAAATAATGCGCTGCAGCTAGGAATAACATATTTGGAATCAGCATTTCAAGCTGATTCAGAAAATATATGTCTTTTTTTACAAGACCAAGCTAAGTTAGGTGCCGTTCTAGCTTACTTCAAAGATATTTCGCTAGCATTGTCTGTGCCAGATTATCGATACTCTTATTTTTCCTCGGTTTAGTTTGACAATATATTAGGTCGGTCCGAAAGTTCGCGCTGTTTTTCAGACCCATGTTCAAAACACTTAGAATAAAGACAGACAAGCGCTGTAAGCAATATCCGATGAGAATTTCCTTCTCTTTCTGATGGTCATGTTTTTGTTCAGAAATACCTAAAAGTCCGCTCAATAATCGGCAGGAAGCTCTAACCCAATTTTCACCATCTCCAGTTTGACTATTATTTAAAATTTTCATTTTCAACTTTTGGACTGGCTTTGATAACAGTTAGATAGAATAAACAAAATGCAGTACAATACTTTGGCATCTCTAGCTGGCTTCTCTAATTGGAAATATTTTTTGATGCTATCAAATACCACCTTTTCGTATCTCAATTCTCACAGAACAAACTACTGGCAGCCAAAGTATCATTCAATGCAGCTTTCTCTTTTCTTTCTCAAGGACTTCTTTTCTTCCTGATTTGTATGATATTTGAGGGTGAAATCATTGCAATTTTCATTTTCAGATGCGTCCCGGGCTATACCCAGAAAATTCGGAGTTTAATGTTTCGAGCCACCAACATCTGTTGCTTGCTAAGATTAGTGCTGAGTTATAACCTACTTTGGAAGCCTCTAATTTCGAAGATTTGTCACTGTTTGAAGCCACTGTGTATTTCCTGACTTCACAAAAGTAAGGGCTTTTGGAATAATTATTTTAAGAAGTGCTGAAAAGTTAGTTGATGAAGCCAAAATAGTTCTTTGTAATGCATTTTGTTTGTTGTATCCAAATATTATCAAAGTTAGACTAGAAGTTGAAACTGGAAATTTGAAAAAAAAGGCAAACCTAACATGATTAAAAAGCATGGGTTGGAGATCCCTGCAGATTGCTGAGCGGACATCGAGGAAATCTGAGCGAACTGACCGGCAGAAAGAGGAAGAAGCTCTGCGTCGGATCCTTACACCGTTTGTCCATCTTTATTCTAAGTGTTTTGAACATGGGTCTGAAAAACAGCGCGAACTTTTGGACCGACCTAATATTATAGTTGGTCTTGTCGGTTCTCGTATTCAAATGCCCTTAGTGCTGTTATTATTTAATCACCGATGATTCGATTCTTTGACCCAACTCATGTCAAAATTCTGCTGTGCACGTGGCTTCCCATAACTGGATTAAGTTTCTCTGCCTATAGTTCAAGCTTCACCACCCCTCTCGCTCTGCCAGAAGTTTCAAGCTTTCTTTTTTACTCAGAGTCATGACAAGTAAGCTCTTACTTTTTCTTACCAATTATATTATCTATGGTTTTTCAAGCTTTTCATGCTAGGGTGCCCTTAGAAAGTATTCATACCGCGATCCTTGCTCACCTTAACACTCCATATTCGCCCGTAACCGCCTTTAAAGGAAGTAGTCGATCTCGTCCTTGTTTACATGCTATGGAAACTGAGATTTTTCTTTTTTGAGATTCTCTTACTTTTGTTTCCTGTATGCCACTTGCCGTTTCCTAGTTTTTAACAAGTAACGTCATGTCATTTATGTTCTAGTGGCTCGAATATGTAGCATACTGATTTCAATTTCCATCTCTGCGTTTTTCCTCTCTGATAAGATGCTCACTCAGAAAACTCTTTAGGAAACGATCAAGTAGTTGCTGAAATTCAGAAACTTTTTTCAGCAATTTAGAAGTGTAAATTACTTGAACAGCTATAGAAGGACATTCTCGAATAGTTTACACTGAATTTTGGTAACACCTAACTTCGAGTTTCATGATTCGCAATCCTGCTTCTTAGTGGGGCATTTCAACCATCGATGATAGAAGTCTTATCTCATAAGTCACCCCCACGAAAGTGGATATCTTCAGTTAGTTCAGTTAGACAGCTTTTTTTTGAAAAAAAGTTTTCTTTTCCTCACAAATGATCCACTCTTTTAAAAAGTACATAATGGGACCGCTCTTTGTAAACAATACTTAAAGGCAACGGCATGTTCGGTTCCAGCGAGCTGCTGCTTTTAAGTTTGCTCATCTTTAACATTTCTCTCCCGATATCGTAAAACAGTTTTTAGGATAGAAAACATCTTGACTGTTGACAAATAAACATGGCCGATGGCACTATATTGCAATGAAGACAAAAAATGAAAGAAAAAAATTTTTTTTGCTCAATGTTGCAGTGCACGTCATATTGGCATCATATGAAATCAAACATCGCATCGCAGCTATGGAAGCTTGAACATTTGTAGATGAGCGGATCAATACTATGACTCGCTAATTTTTAGTGCTTTTTATTGGCTTTCTTTGAATTCTTCTTATTTTTTTGGGATTTTTTTGACTTGTTGTTTTTCTTCTTCTGCTGTTTCTTTCCCTTCTTCTTCGTCTTCTTGTTCGTCACTACTTTCTTTGGCGGTACTACCGCGCGCGCTGGTGTTGTCGATGTTGTTGTTGTCGATGTTGTTGTTGTGGGTGTAGTTGTTGTCGGTGTCGTAGTTGTGGTCGAAGTGGTTGTGGTTGTTGTTGTCCTACTTTCCGGATTTACTGAAAATTGGGTTTAAAGAGGTGTAAAAATCGACAAAATGGTTCCTGTCAGAGATTGATGGTTTTATGGATTCAGTTCTTTTCAAATACACCGGCTAGTCCCACTTTCAAACCCATGCGCAAAATCTTGTGAAAGTACACTTGACAACTTTATGAGTCAAGTCAGTATTTGTTGAGTAAGTGTTGCTTTGAAAGGTCTACTACCTAACAGCACAAATTTTGGAAAGTTCTACTACCTAAAGCACAAATTTTGGCAGGTCTATTTTATTGTTCTATCGTCCTTAAACTCAAATAATCGTTCCTTTTGTAAGAAGAACTCACCATGACGATACTTGATGGTATATCTGCTCGTACCTGACATCTTTGTGAAAGTAATTATAGGAACAAGGTTATGCTTAGACTCAAACACCAGGCCAATTTGAGATTTATGGCATATTCTTAATCAGAGGAATCAAAGAGGCAAAGCTACGATTGTTGCCCAATACCTGTAACCGGTGAGGGTTTGATCGTCGTTAGCTTTTATCTCAATTCCAGCGGCACGACAGCCTTGGGGAGAGTAAGCATAGTCTTCTATAGTACTAACCCTTATGTCGATGGCGGTACCATTAGGAGCCTACGAATGTCAGTCGTTTACGAAAGTAATAAGCATAACTGTGCACACAACAAATTCCTCACTTTGATCCACCAATAACATCTTTTAAAGCCGTCCAGCCAATCCCACCGATCATTTGCGAATTCAAACGTGTGTTTCTGATATTTCTGCGTTGCATTCAATATTCCTCCGCAATTGTTTTCATTTGGCTGAAACTGTGTTCTAAGCAGATTTAACAAAAGCAGAATTCCCACCCTTTCGTTACAGGAATCTCCTCCAAAGCCGCTAGGGCACAGACATTTTGAACAGTTGCGCGGATGTTCATATCCTCCGTTGTCACATTTTACCACCCTTCGCTGCTTTAGGCAGTTTTCTGAAAAATACTGCACATTAGGGTGTATATACACTGATTTCATGAATGATTTGTTGATCTAATGCAGCTGCTGATCTGTTCAGCACAGCTAACAGATTCATGGCCTTATGCAGAGATAGTCTCACGTCTGCAACCATAGCGATTATTTATCATAGTAAAATCGTTGAAGGATACGATTTCTGATCCTAATGTGTAGTTGTATCTCCCATCCAAAGGCATCATAGCCGGATCGTCCCAGCTGCCGTAGTAGCTTAAAAAAATTATCGAAACAAGGTAACTCAAGAAAAGGCTTACTCAGTCATTGAGTATTGCATAATGCTTCCATAGTCGTATCCTAGATTGTAAGTTTCTACTTCCTCTTTAGTATAATTACGGAAGTCAAAGTTTGTCTAAAACACAAAAAATTGCCACAATTTTTTTGAACTCGTTAGAAACCTACATCGGGATCGACGTCTACAAATACTTTGACGTATTTATCCCTATCCGGCCTTTCATGTGTGTGCACCAGTCCCAACGCGTGTCCCAACTCATGGGCTATGATTCCGTATTCACAACATGCCGATGCGAGATATATTCTTTGGTCCGGATATCCGGTTTTTCCAATAACAGAAGCGCACCTTGATACATGCCATTTGACAAGAACGGAAGCTTTGTTTGGCGGACCTAAGTTTTGGAGTATGAGTTCGATATTTTTTACACTGCATTGTGGCTGTAATAATGACATAATTGCTTCACACATTTGGCTTATTCTTTTCATGCAACTGCATTCCTTTCCGCGAATGCCTGAAAGTCGCAACTCGCGTTTAATCGCACCTATTACTTCCTACCGTTTGATGAAGTTGTTTTTAACTTTGCACAAGTTGTTTTTTGTTGGAAATTTGTGCGGATTTTTGTCCTTTAATCAAACAATGTGTTTAAACATACTGTATGAGATTTCCGTGAAATTAACGCATGTGTTCTCTTCCCATGTTCTTGCAGCCTTTTTGAACTCTTTCTTCATGAAATCATCTGAAAATACGCAACGGTACTCAAGAAACCTACCACCCTAATTAATCCGAATCGTTGTGTAGTTCATAGTTCAAGTAAGATTTTTCTTTCTGCCATCTTGTCTTCTTTCATTGCAAACACTGAGTATGTTTATTGCTACTGATTCCCGAGAACGGCAGCAGTAGTGTCAAAATTAGTTGATTTCAGTATATATCATCGCGTTATAATTAGTAATCACCGCGCCTTCTATGAAAAAAAACAATTATTGGATGCAACAATTTTCTTTTTGAATGTAAGCTCCGAGAAGTTTTCAGACAAGGAGTTAACGTAACCCTCCCTCGCCCATCTTCCTCTCATCCGATCTTCCCTTCATCAGCTTTTAGAAGCTAAGTAGGAATGAACATTATCAAACACTGATATTTTTAATTGCTTAGAATATTGGATATTTTTCTTGTAAAGAAAGAAGAGAAATACAAGATGTGCTTAGTGAATTTCGAACATTCTCGCGCATTTCGCATTTTTCATTCATACTCCTTTTTCAAATCTTTAAAAGTTATTCTTTGATGCAAGTGAGATGGGCCTTTCTCGAATAAGTTTTGTTGGTTTTTGAGGTAACTTTCGTGATTTTTCAATATTATTCAAAAAGATGCAAAACATGGAGAGTCAGTTAAAAGCGAAGACTAGGCTTTGCACCTTGCCATACTGAGCTAAATAAAGCATTTAATATATAAAACTTGATGCTCTGATGTGAGGCATCATGATGTACACAAAAAGTGCGAGGATGATTGTTACCCGCATTAGAGGGATAATGAAAGTTATTAGGCCGCACAATGTTTTTTCAGAATTCTTTTCAGCTTTAGATCGTCTATCTCGCCACTACCGATGGTAAAGTGAATTTCAAAAAATGCAAGCAAAATGTCTGTGAAAATGCAGGCGCCAGCATAACATTAGTACAAATGGGTTATTCCCTTACTTAATCCCTCAAATCGATAAGGAAATCCTTCTTTCCAATAGTTTTCTGTCATCAATACTCCTCGTTTTGCGCGGGTTTGATGATTGTTGGGTCTGACATCAGCGTGGGTTCCATATGTTCTGAAAGCATTGCATATGCAGGGCAAAATCAGCACTGTGCGCTAGACATTATACCTGTTTATCGGAAGTAATGCGGCAGAGATGAAGATCGCAATTAGCACGACCATGATTTTTTTTTGCTAAAAAATATATGGTGAATAGAAAGGGAAATGAGAACTTTGAAGAAGTTTTAGACATTTCCAAAAAGATCAAATGTGGAGCCCCGAACTAGAAGGTTACAGTTCAACTGAATTGTTCAATTGCAGCAAAAGGTAACTCTCGCTTGTCTCATGCTTTTCCTAAGATTACCTTCGTATGTGCTTTTGCTAACTTGTAGACAACCTTGCTTCTTGCAATTGGCTGCTGCATTCTCTTTTCTACAAAACGGTTTGACAACGTTGCTTGTGAGGTTGCAGAACGAGATCTAAAACAGTCTCCCCAAATCTTGCAATTCTATTTGCTGCTCCCTGACGCGTAAAAATCACCCGTTCACACATATTGCTATTGTTGCCATGCCATAGCTTCTTTCTTCTTCAAGATATTGGGTTCATAGTAAACCCCATTCGTCTTAACTGACTTGAGATGAGTCACTCAGAAAATCTTTTTAGGTTGAGATTAAGAACGCCCACCTCCCGCGCTTCTATACTGTCATTTGAACAGTGAGGAGACCGTCCGGTCAAGTGTCAGGTTAGTTCAACAACATGCCACTAAGGTGAGGTTAAATGCTACAGTGAACCGAGCGAGATAGTGTGCAAAAGAGGAGAATCAGAAGAAATTTTCCGCATAATGTCCACTCATTTGTTAGGCGACATCCTTGATAGCGGTCATCATCGAATTTTTCAAAGTAGCCGCTGTCAAAGGCTGCCCGGCAGTGCCGCCAAATTCGTCATTAGCTTCGAATGGCATTGCCCTGAATCTTAATTACTAGTGAAGAAAACACTTAACCAGACCTGCTCAAGTGTTTTTTTTTGAGGAAGCACAAGACTATTACGATTGAGAGACGATGCGCATCCTGATCAGTAGCTTACTGGTTGCCGGACTGAGGGGTACTACGTTCAACGTTGTAGGCCTGCCCCAATCGAGTTGTACCTAACAGGGTTACTATGGGTCATCAAACTGTGCATGTTTCGTCTTTTTGGATTCTCTCCATATCTCAAAATTCATGAGGTGTGGTAAACTTTCGTAGCTTAGCTTCCCTCCGTTCTGTTATCCAAAGAGTGAATACTATAATGAGCAAAAAATGTAATACGACAACATTCACAGAAAGTTTTCTGCTGCTTTTCTGAATTTCGAAATCGCAACTTTGACTGAGGTAGTGGAACTTGATACAGTAGTAAGGGGTATGCTGATTACGACCTGCAGAATGGGTCTAGCGTAGTCCTGTTTTACTTGGGTTAGACTTGATGCGTCTGCGATAACTTGCGGAAGCCTCGCGCTTATGCATTGTAAACCCGCGTGTAGTCAAACTGTAGACATCTGGCAAATCGCCAAGTCGCTTAGATGTAGCGATTTAACGGAATCGCGTGAAGTATGCCTTAGACTTAACGGAGAAGGAATGGTGGAGAGTTGTACAAGTGAGACAAAATGGTGAATCTTAGTCCAAGTGGAAGAAACCAGCGAAGCCTATTTCAAATAGCTAAAGACATTATGCTGGCGGAGAGTCTCACATCAATTTCGTATCTCTAATAGATTTCGAAGGCATTACTGGAACAAAAAATATCAAGCAATTTCGACTCACCTCGCACTGATGTGCGGACAACACAAGCTATTTAGATAGAGAAATTATTAGTTTTGAATACTTACTGTTTGTCCTTCACGCTGAGGTTTGAATTGTAATACGGAGAGGAGCGAGAGGGCGAGCAAACCGATAGCTTAACCTTCGACTTTGTGGAGATAGAGCCGCAAAAGTGAATGTTGTTCAAAACCCCTTCCTCCAAAACTGAAGATTGCCCAAGAATTACGTAAAGAAAGGTAAACTAAACAGCAAAGACAAAAGAAATTGCTGAACACTGAAAGAAATTTCAATCTGACTGTGCATCGCAGGTTTTCATAAATACCCGTCAGTTCACAACACAGAGAAAACGAGAGAAAACCAGTTTCTTTATTACGTTTGTTTCGAAAACAATGGCTATGTGAAAGTGGTGACTGCTATGAAGCAGATAAGTGAAAACCGAGAAGACGGGAAGTTTTGTTTCTTTAAAATCAAGCACATCAAAGCTGATCTGTTTTTTGATGCGTTCTTTGATTTTTACTGCTTCTTGTCATTTCTGTTTCAGGCGAATTCGTCCACAGCTCTGCTCATCACGCTGAGCAAAAAACCTAAGCACGAAAAATTGTTGCGTATACACTTAAACATGAAGAATATTAGAAACGCACCCTTCTACTAACTTCTAATAAAAAAACGCCAAAGAAGGTACAGTAAGGCTGACGACGTTTTCTTCATTATAGACAGAAGCAAGGAAAGAGAAAACAATAATGTTAAACTAGGAAAAAGAAGGAATTTTAAAAATGTAGTTTCCGTCAAATTTTTCGTCAAGTAACATGTCAGTATATTAGACACCAAGAGCTACAAAGTGATATATGATTTGACGGGAACGAATTCGAAACAACGAAGGAAAGGATAGCGAGCCGGATGCTCAGTGGAGCCATCGAGGAGCAGCGGGTAGATGCTATACATGAAGACGAACAAAGGAGAAACAAGAGGCAAAAGGGAATTTGGTTTTGGTCATCTGTTGCAGGGCTTTATTGAGAATCCGAGGATTCTCAACAAACTTTTGCAACATTTTATTAGGGTGTCCGGAAATTGATGCCCGTTTTGAATTTTAACCGCAACAGGTCATGCACTTCTCACTTCTAGATGGGTTGCAAAGTACCATTCGATAGAGCAAAGCAAGCTCTACAAGAGGGCCATCTTGCTTTAGCAACAGCTCTGATTTACCTCGACTTTTGAGCCAAAAACTAAAAAGACTCAGCAGCCCGAAAAATCGAAAAATTGTAACTCAGCTCATAAAAATCCTACAAAGATTCTTACTTGCTCACGTAAATACTATCCGCATAAAACATCTACATACACCTTTGCCGTATTTTTCCCCTGTTAGAAATCAAGAAAACGGAAATTTTCGTGCATTTGCCAAAGTGGTGTTGTGCCGTTCGCACATAGGTAGTTGTATACTACAAACCTGTAGAAGTATAAACATAAATTCTCAGCTCTCTACAAGCTTTGATTCTCGAGAAATTTGAATTTTAGCTTGGGCCACTAATTAGGGAAAGCTATCTTCGGTATTTCTCGAGAATTAAAGCTTGTAGAGGGCTGAAAATTTAAGTCTGTACTTCTAAAAGCTTGTGGTACACAAATACCTATGTGGGGACGGCATAGCATCACTTTGACAAATGCACGAAAATTTCCGTTTTCTTGGTTTTCAACAGAGGGAAAAATACGGTAAAGGCGTATATGGATGTTTTATGTGGATAGTGTTTACGTGAGCAAGTAAGAATTTTCGTAGGATTTTTGTGAACTCAGTTACGATTTTTTTCGATTTTTCGGGCTGCTGAGTCTTTTTAGTTTTTGGCTCAAAACTCGTGGTGGATCAGAGCTGTTGCTAAAGCAAGATGGCCATCTTGTAGAGCTTGCTTTGCTTTATCGAATGGTACTTTGCAACCTATTTAGAAGTGAGAAATGCATGACTTATTGCGGTTGAAATTTAAAACGGGCATTAATTTCCGGACAACCTAACATATCTTTCTGATCATCAGGAGACGTCTGACAACGTCGTCGAGGTGGAAAACCACTCTGCAATGAGCTCAAGCGGCAATTCTATGTGGCTCTTGCTCAAGTTTTATTCGCAATTTTTAGCTTTCGCTGTTTGGCGTTTGCTTTACTTCTTCTGTGTTATTAAGTTTGGGAGGTTTCACCGTCGCCAACACTTGCTTCATGATGAGCCCGTCAATTTTATAAATCCTTAGTCCAATATCTGTAATTTTTTCTCACGTGTTTTCATGTTTTTGGATTCATGCTTCTAAAAAAGTCATTAAAAAAAGTTGCACTGAAAAGCAAATGCTTTGACTATATGAACATACGCAACGCACAAGCACCCATTTATCCTTAGTTTGCAATTTAGAATTGGGAGTGAGCTTGGAAACTAGAATTTTGGATCGCAAGGTATATTGAATTTGTTCAAAGTAGACATAGGTAGTTGTACTCTCAGCACATTTGCTGTAACAGTTTCAATAGTGCTTGTGACGGCGTTGACCTAGAACGTCCTGGCAAGTAGGCTATTTGTACAGGCCCTATCACTCGGCATAGCATTTGGTGCATGTAATCTGTGTTGAGCCAGCCCCTCGTAGCGCGATTGCAGTACTAAAGGGACTGGTGATACAGCTTATGTGCCTATAGTAACATACCTAGCACTTATTGGAAGCACACAAGCAATACATAACCCTAAATCGGCGACTTGTGGCTAATAACTGTTCTGGCTCGCATCGTTGCTGCTTCATTGCTCGATGCTTGCTACTATGTCTATAATTTCTTTAGCATCGATGGCGCATTCTATGACACACTACAGTCTTTGGTAAACCTGCTGGATAGTTTTTCCTAACATGACAGTGGAAAGGCTCACTACCAAAGCTCAAAAGGAATTGCTCGACAAAAACAAATTAGGGCATTTGTCTATGCATATTGGTCATCGGGTTGTAAATAGATACGCTTGATGGCGAGAAACTGCACTCACGAAGACATACGCCAATCTTTTAAAGGTGCACTTCCAAACACACCTGTGTTAAACAGCTGTTTCGGCTCCTAAAAACATGCAGTATACAGATTTAAGTGATTTTAGAGTTGAATGAAGAATGATGATGATGAAGATATAACACCACTTATCAAAATGTGATGATAGCTTTCTGCTTGCAGTTGAGCTACAAGATGCCCCTATAAGAAAGATTTTATACCCAAAAATAAATTAATAAAACGACAAGTTGTGTTTAGCGGCCCTGACGCCTGCATCCGTAGGAGATAATCGAAGGCGCGAACATTGCGGAGGGCATTTGGACAGCTTACAAGAAAACTTACCAAAAAAAATCCGGGAAATTCTCAAGAAAGTAAGTGCTTGTAACTTCGCTTGGGAAAACGCTCAAGAAATAAGTGTGGCATTGTAATCTGCCTCGTAGAATAATTATAATGCGCATCTAATGAGGAAAGAAAGAAGAGCTCTTGTAATCTCGCAACTGTCATCCTAAGAACATTGGAAAATACGTAAGCCACTCCAAAACACCTTAACAATTCTCAGAATTTCACTCGAGTAATTTTTTTGTCAGGGAGTTGAAGTTGTCCGATTATTGTGCTCAACTGGAAAACTGTGTTTGATGGGAAATCTTTCCAATGATTAAAAAGGTAATTCTGTAATTTTGCAGTATCAAACCCGCATCCAAAATGACAGGCAAGCACCTAGCTAGCCGAGTGCTTACACCCTATTTACGAATTTTCATTCAAATTCTAAGCCGTGACCATTTACCATACATTTCAATCCGGAACGTCTAAGGAAATCTCACGAACTGGTACTAATGAATGACCATCTCAACTTTTGGTAGCTATCGTTTAAACGCAATATCAAGATAGGCTTCAGATTTGTTAGAGCTTGAGGGTTTGGTCGGATCATCAAAGTAAATTCCTATATCTATGAATTGCCCCCCCCCCCCTCCATTGAATTGAAGATGCCCCTATAAAAAGATTTTACACCCAAAAACGAATTAATAAAACGACAAGATTGTGTTTAGCGGCCCAGCCGCCTGCATCCGTAGGAGGTAATCGAAGGCGCGAACGTTGCGGAGGACATTTGGGCAGGTTCCAAGGAAACTTGGCAAAAAAACTTGAGAAGTTTTCAAGAAAGTAAGTGCTCGTGACTTTGCTTGGGAAAACGCCCAAGAAATAAATGTGGCAGATTTGTAATCTGCGTCGCAAAATAATTATATTGCACATCTATCAAAGAAAGAAAATGAAAAGCTGAAAATTGTTGAAACTCATTGTAATCTCACATCTATAATCCTAAAAACATTAGATACGTTAGCTACCTTAAAACACCTTATCAATATTTGAATTTCATTTGAGTAATTTGTTTGTCAGGAAGTTGAAGGTCCGATCGTTGTTCAACTGCAAACTGTATTTGATAGAAAATCATTTCAAAGATTGAAAAGTTGTCTTGTGATGTCGCAGTATCAAATTCGCATCCAAAATAACATGCAAGAGCACATCGCAAAATAGCCGAGTGCTCATGCTGTATTTACAAATTTTCGTTCAAATTCCAAGCCTTGACCACTTACCATACATTTCAATCCGGAACGTCTAAGGAAATCTCACGAACTGGTACTAGTGAATGACCATCTTAACTTTTGGTAGCTCGCCATCGTTTAAACGCAATATCAAGATAGGCTTCAGATTTGTTGGAGCTTGAGGATCAATATCTATGAATTCTACTTCCAAACTCTTTGGATGTCAACAAAAGTTTTTTTACTTGTTTGATAGGCGGATCCAATTTTATAATTTAGCATTACTAGTTCAACATATTCATCCTGCTATTTTTTCAAACAAAGTTAGAAGAAATGATTTCTTACATTTCTCTCTAAGCTTCTTTACAAAATTTTTTGAGGATACTTGCAGTCTTCTACTGGTGCTCGCTCTCTCAACTACCTCTTGGAAATATGACAGCAGGTATCTGGTTCCTACTGCTGCGCCGCCCCCAAAAGCAGATATAGGTGGTTTTGGCGGCGATACATCGAAGACTTCCACCAACCTGGTTTAAAGATGTGGCGTAGAAATGTAGATGGCTTAGGAATAAACCACCTATTTTGCAGAAAACAATGACGATTCGAAAGCAGGGTCCGCTAGCAATTTAAGGGGCAGCCGACGCCATGGAGAATAGAGATCCACACCTGTAGCAATACAGAGGACATTTCAAAGTGCATCACCACATTTTGAGACGACAGTGGGCTATTGTCATGAACTACTTTCTCATAGTTTTGAAACTAACTGAAGACAATTATTTCGCACAGAAGATTTTCTTTTTTGATGCTATTCCATGTCTGATTGTCACTGAATCTCGGCTTATGTTTAATCCGCCATGTTTCTTGAGCCGCCAAAATAGATAATAGCATACGGGGCCGACGGTCTAAAGACAAAGCCCTTTTTAGTGCATGGAAAGACCAGAAACATTGACACATTGAAACACTGAAACAATTATTTATTTGCTCAGATACCTTTTGCCAAACGAACACATCTCAACATTATACTAGATGCTACACCGAAAGGTCAAACCGATGTTATATGAAATGAACTTAACGGTAAACAAGCACCAGCTGTTGGGAATGTCATTGCTAGCCTCTTTCAAAAGCATCTGACCTTGAGTTCGGAGATTAAAATCAACAGAGGTTTTGATACAGATCCATTCGTTTGTCACAGCGATTCACTTTTTCTTGCAATTCATTTTAGGATCCTTGGATGTTACTCAGAAAGCTAGGTTTTAAAGGCAGTGTCCGGGCAAGATGAGGGTTTTGGGACCTCAGTGCCATGCAAAAGTGGGCCCTCAGACACAATATCGCGCAAGTGCGACGTCATAACGCTCAACCTAAAGCAAGAAAAACTACCGGAAAGTGAGGAAACTTACGCCTTGGGGCGGGGTCCTTCGAGCTGTTCGAATTTCCGCTGTCGGCAGAGTACGCATGCCGCCACAGTTAGAATGTAGGGTCCCGCAGGGACTCTGCGTTCTGCCTTTTGGGGACCGTCGAATGACGAATTGTGTCGTTTTGGAAAACGTATGTTCCGCCATTTTCGCGCCTTCCAGTGTGGATTTTCGGATTTAGCGTTGCGGATAACCCAAAGTAAGTGGATTTTCTAAAAATCGAGTTTTTGCCCGGACACTGCCTTTAAGCTACTATCTAAGGCCTTGCTATAGGGTGGCTCCAAGTTGCAATTGACTTGTTCACAGTTGTTAAAATCGATATTTATATACATAACTCAAACTTTATAAGTGTGTTCGTTTAGTTGTTCTTTCGTTATAGAAACGCCCGCCAATGAACCGATTGAGCTGAAACTTTGCACACACATGTTTTCGACCCCGGAGGTGGTAGCGCTACTTTTTGCAGCGATTCACTGGGCCATTCTATTGGTTTATTGATTTGCCTACTTAATTCAAGGAAGTTGAAGGCTTAGCATGCTTCCACCAATCATGTTCCAATAAACATCCAAGCAGAGGAAGAGCTCATTGTCAACTCAAGTTGATAGAACGCGGCAGTTCTTCCCAAATCTCTTTTGCGCATGGTAGAAGAAGTATGAAAATGTAAGTAACACATTTCGGTTAAATTAATTTAGAGTCTCGGGTGAGACCGGGACCGCCAGCTAGTTAGAAATAATTTCTTAAAAGTTTTAAAAATTTGAAGTAGCCTTGCAAAAAAGTCTTTGCGGACAAAGGGGGCGTGGCGGTAGCCAAGCCATCTTTTTCTGGAATTTCGGAGTCACGAGCCCGCACAAATTTTGGAATACATCCCAGAAAAATTTTCGGAGCGTAGTTAACGCCACGCACCTTCATTCAACCCCCCCCCCTCCACCTTCCTTTTGGTCGGAAACCCTGGAACCGCCACTGCTGCACAGTGCAACCCCTTGACCGTATGCATTTACTCTACGTTAGCGTGCACCTTCCAGCGCGTCAGCTCGATGTAGTTACCTTTGTGTCTCCATCCCTATTACAACCCCTTTCATAAATGCAGAAGGTGACTGATTATTTCAGGGCCGGTAGTGATCCCCCGACAAAGCGGCAGGTCTCGAGGCAGGTAGACGGACCTTTACTTAAAGTCAGTGAGAACTAAGATTACAGTTGAGTCTAAAGCTTTTTTACAAGAAAGTTGCAAAGTTAGATAAAAATTAGAAATTAAATAAATAAAAATTAGATAAAATAATTTAAAAAATTGGATACACGAAACCCCTTTTTTGCCTATTGCATTTTACCTCTGTTTTTCCTCGCTTTCTGGAATCCGTCCTCTCATCGTTTGCTGCAGATCATAAGCCGCACTACAAATACCACAAAGGGTATTTCGTAAGTTTCCGCAGTGTTGAGGAAGGGGACCTCGTTTCATGAAATTTTCAAATGCCACCTCGAAAGGACCTTGTATGAAGTCAATCAGATTTTATAGCGCCGCTGTACACCCCAAAGAACATGATTCTCATATACTACGTTTTATCACTGATAAATCATTGTTTTTGATATAAGACATAATACAATTATAAACGAGAGAGACAATGTTCACGTAAACGACGCGAACCGAATGTGGCAAGAACCAAAATGAGATCAGTTGCGCTGGAGGCCAAATTGATATGTCAATCTGGAAGCAGGTGAATAAAATTCAATCTAATATTTCGTGTTACAATGTATTGAGGAAAAGGGGTGGATGTTCTATTACCTTAAAAATATGCCACATTTTCCTCTTATATTCAGAAAAGGCAGACGATAGTGAAGATCCTTCAAGAAGCCCACCCACTGCAACAGAAAAATCAACGCAAGATTTTTTACGCCAGTGAAAATTAGGAGTAGTAGTCAATGGCAGGATTAACTAGGGGAGAACCCAAAGTCGAAATCGGCTTTCCAAATGAAATATATACCAATCTAAAGAGCATCTGACGCCAATCAGAACCAGGAAAATTTCAAAACGAAGTCCGCTTTGACCTAAGCCCTAAAAGTAAAAAAAACACGAAACGTCGATCAAAAAAACGTGCAATTTTTTTGTCTTTTCGACCACAAAACGATATCCATTTGACTCGGTGTTTATCCAAGCGTACTCTGTTCATGCGCTTAGTATGTAGTCATCTTCCAGTCCCCTTTTTCTGAGAGGTAGCAAGTGTTCTTTAAAAAAAAAGGACCCAACATTTTTATCAAAGGGTCTACAGTCCTGGCCAAAACTATAGTTCCACTCGAAATTTTTGTAGTATTCAAGAAGTGCAGCATCAAATGAAGCTTAAATTTCACATGATAATTACATCTACTCTTAGAAACCTTCTCACACAAAAGGATTGTTCACATCCATCTTCATTTCAAAAAAAATGAGAAAATGTGGGAAAGGCTACCAATGAAAGTTGGCCAAAACTATAGATCCACCCGGTACTTAGCGTCTTCACAGCTTTTTTCGGCTCCCAGTTTTTGTCGTACGAGCACACCTTTGAAACTTTGGGAAATGCCGCGTGGTCGACGTCTAGCTTTTGAAAAGGGACTGATTACGGCTAACCACGAAGAAGAATGGTCCAATAGACGTATTGCCGAAGCAATTGGACGAAGCCACAAGGTTGTCAATAGTTTTTTGGCTGATCCGCAATCGTATGGGCAGCCTTTTCCAACTGGACGTCCATCGGCGGTAACCGCCCGCTATCGGAAACGTATTCTGCGCGTTGCATCCAATTCTACTGTCACGTCAAAGCAGATCAGAAGCACTTTACAGTTGAATTGCTCCTCTAGAACAGTGCGCAGAGTCTTAGAACAGAGCGAAGACATTGTTCGAATGAGGATGAGCTCTCAGCCAAGGTTGACAAAGTTTCACAAAGAACATCGTCTTGCTTTTGCTGTAGAAAAGCTCGTGCAACAAGTCAATTGGAGTAGGGTACGGAGGTAATAAACTGCAACATCCACATAATCCTCACAATCTTGTTCAGAATATTTGGTCCGATGAAAAAAGTTCAATCTCGACGGACCAGACGGATTCGCTTACTGGCACGATCTCCGTAAAAAGCCTCGGTATTTCTCCAAACGAAGCTTCGGCGGGGGCAATGTCATGGTGTGGGGCGCTTTCGATGTTACAGGCACACTTCAACTTGCTTTCATTTCTAATAAAATGACAAGCCGAAATTACCAGGAAGTATTAGAATCTCATCTTATACCATTTTGGCATAAAAATTCCATATTTATTCAAGATAAATGCTTCAGTGCACAGAAGTAGGGATACATTACAGTACTTAAGAAGCCACAATATCCAAGTTTTAGAATGGCCAGCATGCTCACCTAATTTTAACCCTATTGAAAATCTCTGGGGCATCATTGAGCGTGATGTATACCATGATTTTAAGCATTATAACAACTCACAGGAGCTTAAAGTAGCAATTTCGTCTGCGTGGTCGAAAATTCCCACCCGGGTTCTTACTACACTAGCGAACAGTGTTCCAAAACGACTCGTTGAAGTTGTCAAGCACCAGGGTAACGCTATCGACTACTAGCAAGCCGTTGTCGATTTCTTTGCTGTTAGGTTTTTCAGTGGATCTATAGTTTTGGCCAACTTTCACTAGTACCTTTTCCTAAATTTTCTCATTTTTTTGTAATGAAGACGGGTGTGAATAAACCTGTTGTGTGAGAAGGTCTCTAAGGGTAAATGTAATTCATGTAAAATTTGAGCTCCATTTGATGCTGCACTTCTTGAATACCATAAAAATTTCGAGTGAAACCATAGTTTTGGCCAGCACTGTATTAGCCTGCCTTCTGATTTCTCACAAACAAGAACGATTCAAATGCATAATTTTGAATTTTGCAAAGAAAACTTTCCAAATTTCCAGCGATTTCTTATTTTCATCTGAAAGCGTAGAGTGTGGCGAATACCACACTTTTTGATGATTTTGTGCCTTCGTAGTTTCTCGATGAATTGCAGAAATGAGATTTTCCGGAAAGGGTAAGAAGTTGAATACTTCCCAAAAAATGAAATTTTGAACATTACTACGTACCTGTCATAAATGTGCAGGAGAAAATTGGCATACAAGCAGCATCACAGCAGAGCTTCTTCAAGACAATAGTACGTCGACTCCCTCGAAATGCCCTTGTGTCCAAGATGCGATAAAAACCATGAAGCATAGGTCCGATCACAAAACCAATAGCTGCCATTCTAGCTGCAATCAAATTTCTTATTCATTTCATCGTGTAGGAAAGTTTGTATGAATCTCTTCTTCAAAAACGCTCGAAAAATTCAATTGGGTTTACACCAAGTAAAAATCTGCTAGATTTCCCTGGGGATTGCTCGCATCTAATCTAGCTAATTAGCTTTTTAATGTTTCCTGGACGTGAACACAGCCTTGAAACCTCTTTTGGAATCAATGAGATTACTAGCGAACAATTGTGTTAGACCGAATCTCAAATTGTGGGTGATTTTTTCAAAACTAAGTTGTCAAAATTTTCTCTAACATTCTTTAAAAGTTTGATTTCGGCCTTCAAGAAAACAGCTTATTCGTACAGCTGTTTTGGCTTTATTTTGTGATAAATCTAGTTGTAATTTTGAATGAATCTAGTTTTGAAAAGTGAGAGCTACTTCGTTACATAATTATGAGGCATCAAACAAAAACTTGAAATGCCACCTTCTATGACAGTAAATTATATATAAGATTCCGCAAAACTTTCCATTACCTCAGCATCGAATCTCATAACTTGTTTTTGATATTTTGGATATTTCTGACTGGCTAAGCGTAACGCACTTCGGCAATTCGGATTTGGTAGATTATTAGAATGGCTTGTCCTATGGCTGGTAAAAACCAAAACAAAAGGTGAGAAATAAAACGAATTTTTAACTCTGCAAAAGCGAAGAATTTTGCTTTGCTGCTTCCAAGCCCTTGGATATGAATTTATGGCAATCTTCGTGAGACATAGCTATATTGCATAGCACCTAATGTTTCACTACGATATCAATATTATAAATTCATTCAAAAGCGAACAAATAAAAATTTTTGAAAAAACGATTCTGAAATTTCTCAAAGAACCAAACCATATGATTAAACTATTCAAAACACATGTAAGCTATTGTCAAGAGCGAAATCCCTCCAACCTGTTCGGTGGTAGTCCCATCCTTTCTTTTGAACATCTCCTTGAAATAATTGCTGCAGCACATCGGCCGTTCCTATTTGTGCCACGCTTATTGCTGTATTTGTTAGGAAGAGATGTTTTGAAAAGTGTTTTTGCAACTCCTAAAAGAGGGAATTGAGAGAAAATATTGAGCAAAAAACGCAGTAGTTACCTTTACGGATCTCATCTCGTCAAAGTGCTGTTTGTTGCAGAGTTTCACAGTGCAAAAAAACTGGTGTGATTCAAAATTCACAAAATGTTGCATAAATAATAGTGCAACCTCCTGTTTCACAGTGAGATTTTGCTTTAGGAGAAATGTTTCGTCCTCAGCTTTACGAATTCAGTCATAACTTACACAGAATATTCTAAAATCTTATCTAGTTTGTCACGCAAAGAATGAGATTTGGTATTGAGGTTTTAGTCACTCAGAAGACCAAGAATTTAATTTCTTCACAATAATAATGAAGCGTGTAGATCTACGCAATTGGTATAATGATTTGATATAGATGTGGAAAAAGGACCAAAAGTTTTTCAGAGGAAAAATCAAATATTTTCGGAATTTCAACCAAAATGGGAACATCAAAATCTATGCATGTCGAACACTACAGAAACATTTGGAATCTGATGTAGCTCGTCGATGAGAAGATCAACGAATGAGCTAGCTAGTACTTTACCCGGCGGAAGGCATCTTATCGCCTAATGAGTTGAAGGCGTGGTGAGCTTGTCGAAATGAGCGTCATCAAAGCACAGCCACGAAAGCAATGCCGAAAGAAGACGTTTGATAATGTAGTTAGCGCCATTGGGCCATTTCGAATTTTACCTACTTGGGACGCGAAACCAGGAAATTTCATCTCATCGAAAAACTGGGACTTAAGACTTATGTTAAATTCATTGACGATGTTCTGTTTAATTCAAGTTTCAAAAAGAAGAGAATTTATTAGTTTTTTTAGTGACTACTGACTCAGTTTCCTCAACTTTGAAGGATATGAGAGCGCAAGTTCCACTCTGTGACTGTGGTGGATAGCAGAGTTACATGAAAGCTTTGAAATAGATAAGTGCTGGCACTAGCTCCGCGATCTAAGCATTATCCCTTGTTTTCAAGTAGAATATTCCGTTTAAAGAGCAAAAAATGCCTGGAAATGGTAGAATCAGAGCGAACCCGCGAAGCAGAATTCATGCACTCACACGTGTGATAACGAAAAAGAATGCATTTTACCAAGTGAGATGTACGGTGAATTGTGAAGCATGATGGTTCATTTTTTCCGTTACCTTTTGACTCATTGGCATCACGGCATCAACATCCAAATGTAACTACTTTTGCGTCAAGTTCCTTATCAGTAAGAAAGGTTTATTTTGACGTTAGCTTGATATTCCAGCACATTTTTCGGCTTAATTTATAATACTTAAAAGAATTTCCCCCTGTTGGGTAGTAGGCCAATTACAGTAAAAAGCTTACTCGCTTCAAAACAATGCGCTGCAGCTAGGAATAACATATTGAGAATTAGCATTCCAAACTGGAGAATATATGTCACTTTCTACAAGGTCAAACTAAATTAGGGCTTTTTGCTTTTCCTGCTTACTTCAATGATATCTCGCTGGCATTGTCTGTGCCAAAATATCGATTCTTATTTTTCCTCGGTCTAGTTTGGCAAAATGTCATATATTTTGCCTTGTCATATGCGCTCGTACTCAATTACGGTGCTTTTGATAATTTGTTGATATGTCAACTATCTGACTTTCTCTCTCTCTCTTTTCCAAAATTTTGCTGTGCCCGCGGTTTTCCATAACTGAACTGAGTTTTCTTGCCTATAGTTCAAGCTTCTCCAATCCCCTCTCTTTGCTAGAAATTTCAAATTTTTTTCCTTCCTTAGAGTCATGACAAGTAAGCTCTTAGTCTTTCTTGTCTTATATTATCTATGCTTTGTCATTTTCATGCTAGGGTGCCCTTAGGCCCCAGGCAGACTTCACGCGATTTGATCGTCGCGACTATCGCGACGAGACAACTGTTACAACATCATTCCATGCCGATCAACTTGCATTCGGTTGTGATACTTTTCCAACCCGCAATTTTTGAACGTGAAATGAAAATGAATGGAAATGTCGGCGATTGAGTCGCGACGATCAAATCGCGTGAAGTCTGACCGGGGCCTTCGAAAGTCTTCATACTGCGATCTTTGCTGACCTTAACAGTCCATATTCACCCGTAGCCTTCTTTAGTAAAAGTAATCGCCTTTGTTCTTGCGCTGTCTGCATGCTATAGAAACTGAGGTTTTTTCTTACGAGATTTTCTTACTTCTGTTTTCCGTACGCCACTTGCCGTTTCCTACGAGTTTTTACCAAGTAACGTCATGTCTTTTATGTTCTAGTGGCTCGAATATGTAGCATACTGATTTTTTTCCATCTCTGCGTTTTTTCTTCTCTGAATCCCATAACCTTTTGCATAAGACGTCCCTCGAAAAACTCTTTAGGAAACGTTTAGTAATTCCTGAAATTCAGAAACTTTTTGCAGCAAAATGGAAGTGCAAATCATTTGAACAGTTTAAAAGGACTTTTCTCGATTAATTTACACTAACTTTTGGTGACACCCAACTTCGACTTTCATGCATCGCAACCCTATTTCTTAGCCAGGCAACCATCGATGATAAAACTCTCGTCTAATAAGTCACCCCCAAGAAAGTGGTTGTCAGTCCACTTTAGTTAGATACCTCTTTTGTGAAGAATTTCCTTTTTCTAATCTCACAAATGATTTCACTCTTTACAAACGTACATAATGAGACTGCTTTTTTTATGAAAAATACTTAAGGACAGCGGCATGTTCGGTTCTAGCGAGCTGCTGCCTTTCAAGCTTGCTCTTCTCCAACATCTCTCTCTTGGTATCCTAAAAGAGTTAGGATAAAAAACAACTTGACTGTTGATCAATAAACATGACCGATTGTACTCTATTGCGATGAAGACAAAAAGGAAAAAAAAAATTTTGTTTAATGTTGTATTGCACATCATGGATTGAAACAAACATCGCATCGTAGATACGGAAGCTGGAACATTTGCAGATAAGCGGTCAATACTTTGATTTGCTAATTTTTAGTGCTTTTTATGGATTTTTTTGGTTCTCCTCGTATTTCTTCTGGATTTTTTTGCCTTGTTATTTTTCTTCTTCTGCAGTTTCTTTCCCTTCTTTTTCGTATTCTTGCTTGTCACTGCTTTCTTTGGTGGTGCTACGGCGCGCGCTGCTGTTGTCGATGTTGTTGTCCATGTAGTTGTTGGCGATGTAGTCGTTGTCGATGTAGTTGTTGTCGGCGTCGTAGTTGTGGTCGAAGTGGTTGTGGTTGTTGTTGTCCTACTTTCCGGATTTACTGAAAATTCATGGATTCAATTCGCACACTTTCCAAGCACACCGCCTAGTCTCACTTTCAAACCCATGCGCAAAATTCTGTGAAAGTATATTTGACTCCAAGCTCGATTATTTACAAATTTTGGCATGATGTTCTATATACGATATTCGTATATGTTTACTTGAGCCGATCACCAAGATTATAGCACGCTTCATTCAATCAGACTAACGTTTCGGTGCCTTCATCTTCGTCGGAGCCTCGGCTGTCTTCGAATCGGGGTCGAGCCACCACCAAACACTGACTGTGCAGACGCTGTATTTAGTGGTGGCTCGACCCCGATTCGAAGACAGCCGAGGCTCCGACGAAGGTGAAGGCACCGAAACGTTAGCCTGATTGAATAAAGCGTGCGATAATCTTGGTGATCGGCTCAAGTAAACATATACGAATATATTTGACTACTTCATGAAGCAAGCCTGCTTTTGCTGAGTAAGTGTTGCTTTGAAAAGCCTACTATCTTACAGCACAATTTGTAACAAGAATCCGTTTATTGGTCTGTCGTCTTTAAGCCCAAATAGTCGTTTAGTGTTCAAAAGAACTCACCCTGACGATATTCGATGGTATATCTGCTCGTATCTGACATCTTTGTGAAAGTAATGATAGGAACAAGGTTGTGCTTAGACTCAAACTCCAGGCCGATTTGAGATTTATGGCATATTCTTGGTCAAAAGAATGAAACAGACAAAGCTACGATTGTTGCCCCATACCTGTAACCAGTGAGGGTTTGATCGTCATTTGCCTTTATCTCAATTCCAGCAGCACGACAGCCTTGTGGAGAGTAAGCATAGTCTTTAATAGAAGTAACCTTTATATCGATGGCGGTACCACTGGGAGCCTATGAGTGTCAGTTGTTTACGATAACAAACATAACTGTTCGCAAAAAATTTCTCACTGTGATCCACCAATAACATTTTTTGAAGCCGTCCAGCCAATTCCATCGTCGATTATTCGCAAATTCAAAAGTGTAATTCTGATATGTCTTCGTTGCATTCAATATTCCTCCGCAACCGTTTTCATTTGGCTAAAGCTATGTTCTAGGCAGAATTAACAAAAGCAGAATCCTCACCCTTTCGTTACAAGAATCTCCTCCAAAGCCGCTAGGGCACAGACATCTTGAACAATTGCGCGGGTGTTCATATCCTCCGTTTTTACATTTTACTACCCTTCGCTCTCTTGCGCAGATTTCTGAAAAATAGTCTGCATTGTGCCAATAAAGGGTTCGTATACACTGACATGAATGACTGTTGATCTAATGCAGCTGCTGATTCTGTTCACACATCTAACAGACTTATTAACCGCAGGCGTAAGGCATACCTCCCGCGATTCCAATCGCGTCGCAATTTCCATTTCGGACATTTGGTCCTCGCACGCAGCGCCCAATTGTGAGGTCTTGTCGCGTCTGTGCTAGATTGACGCTGCGACGAATTACGGGCCTTTTTGGGGGGCGTACTGTCAGCAGGAATATCGTTGCGGCATCGCTCAAACTCAGCGATGTCGCCGTCGCTAGTTCTGCACCAGCGATGGGCAAATCGCTCAAATGGCTTCTTTTTCGTGAGATTTGTATTTTTTGGAAATGCTCACTCATTCAAAACTATTTAAAACTTCCATCTTCCACAAGTGCTTCCTCTCTTCATGAGAGAAAGAAGGTCATTGAAAAATATGCCTAACATAGTTTTTTACAAGGGCCGAAAACATGGCCTTATCGTTACAAAGCTAAGATACACACCTACCAATGGTTGAAAGAGTCAACTCAAAATTTTTTGAATCAGTAGTCGATTTCCTTGCACATGTTGACTTG